ATCAACTTTCTGAAAGTTTTGGCATAATAATTTAAGTAAAATAACTGGCATGTTAACTACGTTTTGTGGCCTCCGGCAGATTAGTGTTCTAGTCTGGTAGACCGGAGGTGATGGGTTTGATTCCCACCTGAGGCATATCAAACTAACTTAAATTTCAAATATGTATGTACATTAGGGAGTTCCGTCGACCACTTTTTTGAGGAATACCTCTCAAACGATGCGTTTAAATGTACTTAATATATGCGATTGAAAATCGAAAGGGGTCTCAAAAGTTCCGTAATTTTGAGTTTATTGCGGGAAAAATAATCAGAGATCAGGATTTTCAATCGCTGGTAGGGAACTGGAGACCATTCGATTTTTTTTCTCGTGTTCAGTACATTAATACGAATCGATAGTGAGGTATTCCTACATGAAATTCTTAAAAAGGCTGTTTCTCGGGAGACTCTAATGTAGATATATATATCGAATATCAACAAATATATCTTCATATAAAATCAAAAAAGCCCTAAGTTAAGCCCAAGGGCCTTCTTCGACAAATTTTCGTTCCAAAATTGTTCAATAAATCTTCAATAAATTGTTATGAATTAAACATTAAAAGTGTTTGATTACTTTTGTTTTAAATTAAACTTATTAATTTCAAATAAATTGTTAAATTGTTAGCATGTTGACTTTTTTAAGTTTCTTTAAAAATCAACATTGGAAAAATTTACAAAATTTATTTGGAAATACATGTATTTTTCTCCAAAATTAAAAGTTGACTTCAATTGATTTTCATCAAATTTTAGACTTTGGCAATATTTTCCCATTATTTGAGAATTTTGGAAATACATATTATGATTTAAAAATAGATAAACTAGTTTATTAACTTATGTATCCTTTAAATAAATAATTTTCATTAATTTAAAAAATTTATTAACATTAGAAAAAAGCGAGAATGAAACAAATTAATTTTATAAATAAAAAAATAAAACAAACGACCCCAAAAACTTAAAACAAAATTTGAAAAAAAAAAGAAAACACGCAACTTAAATACAAAAAATTGTATAAATGCCAAAAATTGTTTATGTTGTTGTAATTTTTTTTTTTGTAGGCTGAATATTTTTATTTTTGTTTGTTACTTTTGAAAGGCTGACGTCATTTGTGATGTTGATGGCGATGGCGTTGATGAGAAGAGCGAGTCTAGAGGCCAGTCAGTTGTCAACACACAGTAACCATTTCAATTGTGTGGTTAAAATGAAGCGATTTTAGCCATGGTTTGTAAATTAAATACATAAACACACCCATACATAGATAGAGTATTTTTTATTATTAAATTTTTGGTCTCAAAAATTTTTGTGTTAAATTCAAAGAGCAATGAAAAAATAAATCGTAACAACGTGTTTTTTAGTTTTCTATTCTATGCCCTCAACTTCATAATGAAGTTGTTTTTAAACTACATTTTCATAAAGCTTGTCTTATTACCACTATTGGGGTTAGATTTTGTTTCTACATTTTAAGAATGTTAGTTAAACTGTAAGGTTTTATTATATGATTAATAAATAATACTAATATTGACTGCCTGCCCCACCTTAGAGGTAAAATGAGTGTGAATTAGTTTACTCTTTGCTTTAGTATTTATTTGCTCTCTTACAATTAGTTTAAAAATTAGACTCAAACTTTTGTTGTTAGAAGAAAACCTGTTTTATTATTGAAAAAAGAAACTCAAGAATTACGTTCAATTCTTAGCAATAGTTACGGGAGGAAGGAAGCTGTCACTGATTGTTTTCTCTTTGTGTATGTGAATAAACAACAAAATCTTTGAATGTATTTTGTGCAGATTTTTCTTTTATTTTGCTCCGTACTAATTTAATAGATAAAAAAAATGCGAAAGAAAATATTAAAGGAAAGAAGGAAGAAATAAAAACAAAATAACACAACTTGTTTTTATGGGAAAATTTTTACTTGGAACTAACTTACTCTCTCTCATACCACCACCTGTCAGAGTTTGGTATTATACACAATTGTTTGGAAATAGCACGAGTTCAAACAAAATATAGAAATAGATAGGTATTGTAATTTTAAGTTTTTTGTTTCTTTTTTTACAAAGTTTGTTGCATACACAGAAAAAAGTTTGAGCATAAATATTGTGAACAGCTTTCATTGACTATAGTTAATAATATTTAAGAATAAGTTCCTAAATTGTATGAATTTTTTAATTTTTATTTTTTTAAACATAATCTAGAAGCCTTGACTTAAAAAATTAAAAATTTTCTTTCTATTTTTCTATTTGTTAAAAAATGTTTGAAATTTTCTTTGGAAAATTTTTTATTTCTTTATGATTTTTAGATTGAAAACAATGAAATATGCGCGTAACTTGCGGGATTGTCTGAAGAATGGATGTTTATCTATATTTGCTGATGTTTTTTATTTCATATTTTCTTTTTCAATATTTTTGTTTATTTTTCATAAAAATTCGCTAATATGTATGATTATTTTCTAAAAAAATGGAACATTGGATATTTATTGCAATTTTTTTATGAAAATCAAAGAAAAAAAGTAAAAAATAACAAAAAAATTCATTCATGTACAAATTCATACATTTTATGAACTTTTAATATTCCGAATGAAAATGGTTTGGGAAAAAAAAAGTCATGTTCGATTCATACAATTATTACAAAATTCATTCTAGTTATGTATTATTTTTTTCTGTGTATTAAATTATTGGTAGTTCCCAAACTACCAATAATACAAATCTAGTTCCTAAAATTAATTTATATTCTAATAATTTCTGTTCACAATTTTCATCTTGGCATCTAGTTTGAAAATAATCTTATAGAGTCGAAACTTATTCTGTAGGATGGATCAGAAGGATTCAGATTTTAAATTATGATTTTCATTCAAAATTGCTTTTTTCGGAGTAATATTCATACATTCAAGAGCTCTATTTTCAGTGATTGGTTGAAGTTTTCAAGATTGGAAGCTGTTTTGAGAAAAGTATATAAATTTATAGAATAACTTCAAAACTACCGATTACAAAACTGTTTTGAAACTAATGAATTCATAGAATTAATTTAAATCTTTAATTTACATCAACATTCCTAATGGGATTATCACAATTTCCAAGTTTGCTATATAACGATTCTACCGTGTTTGTTGTACGTATTAGCACTCGTTCTCCTACCGGAGGCCACAGAAATTAAAATAAATTATTTAAAAACGAAGGTCAGTTTCTCAAGTCTTAAAAATTTTTTAAAATTTTTTCTGAATTGCAAGAAATTTTTTAAAAAACTAATCGATACCTATCTAGGTATATGAATATCTAACTCCATCTTTAAATAAGTTTTTTGGCATCTAATCAATAGACTAGACAGACTATTGTCACTTAATAGACTAGGAAATACAGTAGTCTATATACTAGGAAATAGACTAGTCTATAGGATAGATTAGCATAGTCTTTAGATTAGACATTTAGCAGTGTATTAACTACACCACTTCCAATTATATTTCAAAAATTTCGAATTATGTATAAAAATATTTTTATTTAAAATTTATAAAGAAAAACTTACCTTTAAATTAATGTAAAAAGAGTTAGCTGCAAAATTTTTTTTCGAAATTCCTTTTCTTTTTTTTAGTAGTTCAAAAGAAATTCCTTTAATGTTTATTTATATGGCAATGCCTTTAGTAAAAGAGTGACATCAACAAAAAGTACAAAAAAAAAAGTACACACACTCATACTTTTACATATTTACACTCTCTCTTTCTCATCATCATCAACATTCACTCAACAATCAAGAGAAAAATAACAACAAAAATTGCACAACATTAAGTCATCAACACATTCAGCATTGTTATACGAAATCATACTGTTATTTATTCAATTAATGAAACTGTCATTTGTAAATTAAATTTAAATTACAATTTAATAAATAAAATGTTAAGTTTCATAAAAATTCAACATAGAGTTAGAAGAGAGGAAACTAACTTGATTTTAGTTAGAAAAACTCACGCACTCATACATTCGTTTTTTTCTCATCCAAATATCAGAGACGGAATATAAAATTTTCCTTTTTTAACCCTTTGAAGAATGATTTTTGACAACAATCTACCATGAGTAAATACGTATTTTTGTTCTTTGATAAGTACTAGTATTTTTTATTGTGATAATTTTAGTTTTTTGATTTTAAAGCGTGCTATTCCCAGAGAAACGAAAAATTAGTACGTTTTTCTACTATAAATTACATACATTTATTTGTGAAATCTTAATTTTAAATCGGTTGAGGAGCCAAATGATTTCTATAACTTCAAATATATGAAAATATGTGCTTTAAAACATAATTTGTATAAACTTTTCCATCTCTGTGTAAAACACGAAGAAAAATTGAGCAGATAAAGCCACGCTCAGGTGAGCGTGAGAAATTGTTTTTTAAAAGAGAGTAGATTTGGTTAATTTAATTTTTTTGAGTTTAATTTTGCATGAAACAATAAAAAAAGTTACGTCTTTCTTGATATTTTTGTATACGATTTTTCTATATAATCTTTATTTGGCTTATTTCGTTTTTACGTTATTTTCATTTGTTTTTGTTGTTGTGTTTAGTGGAAATGTGTGATGATGATGATATTCGTTAAATAAATGAACAAAATATTTAGATAATTATGATGTTTGTTGACGATGTTTTTGTTGGTGTGGAGTTGTAGTTTTTTTTTTGTTTTTGCTATTTTGTCAGTACAGCAGCCACTTGGCAATTGAAGTACAAATAAAAAACACTGTTTTCAATGATTTTTCCATTATTACTGGTTCATGGTTAAATTAAAATAGGAAATTTTATAATAAATAAAATCTATGTTTTTTGTTTATTCTTTCTAATACATATTTTTACTATTCTTTAACACAATCATTTTTCTTTTTGGTAAATGTTGTAGATTTTAGGGTGCGGTGCCCAAAAAAAATCTATAATTTATTTTTTTGTTATTTTAATTAATGCCTCCATTATTATTGTAATACACAACTAAATTCAACTCACTTTAGTTTAATCAAGACGAATTGAAGACAATTTTTTGATGTGGTACACTAAAAAATATATATTTTTTGTTTCTTACACAGACACTATACACTTACTAACGCGCACACGTTATTACCGAAAATAGTCCGCTGAACAGAACCAACGCGTATCACGACCAAAAACGTAATGAACAAACCGCTTTTATTTTGACTCAATTTAGTTAAATAAAAATTAAATGCGCTCTCAAAAACTCATTGAGTAATATTTTAATAATTTCTCTCTTCTTTTTCCAAATAAAAAAGAGAGCAAATTATTGCATTTGTATCTGGCAATTCTGTTGTTTGTTTGACAGCTGTGGTGGGTTTTATGCAGCGTTGCCACTAACAATTTAGTTTTCTTACCACATAAAACTAAAAACTACTAACGCTTTTTAAAACTTACCAAATTTTTAAACATGTCCAAATCCCAAAACATCTTAAAAACAATACTGCAAATCTTTATTCTCATTTTTTTTAACAACTGCTTATGTTTAAAGTTCCGTTATAGAATAAATGGTTTATATATTTATATAATTAGAGAAAATTTCCAAATATTTTATCATATTACCTTGTGAAATTATTAATATATATTAACGAATTATTAAAAATTAACAGATTTTCTATAAATAAACATAATGGACCAATCCATATCAAATTTGGTAAAGATTTTCGTTCTTAGAAAACTTTGAATGAAACACTTTTTAGGAAAATCTCCTAACGAAAACAAATTAAGGATTGAAACTGCGTATTTATCAAAATTTGTATTAATTTGATGTGACATAGTCACAAATTTTAATAAAGTTATATGAATGTATAAGTCCAAATTAATCTCATCATACCAAACTAGGACTAAAATCGAAAGCTAACAAACAAACTACCAGTAGTAGTTATAGAGATTGGAAACTACCAAATTTAGTTCAACACTGCTTTTGTGTCATTTTGTTTTATAAGATTTAAAATATAATTAAATTCAAATGGCTTAGTTGAACTTGAAGTATGTATGTATATATATAACATAACGGTTTGTGTGCGGTAGTTTTGACATACAAGAGTACTGCCAAACTAAATTTTTTTGTGGTGAGTTAATCTCTAAGTTGAATAAGAAAGACAAGAAGGTGTTATATATTTAAAAGTATGACTTAAAAAATATATATTACCAACCCCTCCCCCCATCAAAAAAAAATATGGTGGGTGTATTAATTTTGATATTCCGTTTGTCTTACATCGAAATAATGGTCTAATATATAGGAAAGCATATATATTCTAGGTGCTCATTAGATTCCAAGAATTTACATCTGTCTGTTGAAAACACACATTTTACACAAATGTTTATACCCTACACTACTTTAGTGGTCAAATTTCATAAAGAAAGGGCCTCATTTGACCCTAGCTCCCATACAAAGCCCCCTTCAGAAAATTACTTCAATGTCCAAAATTCACTTATTAACACTAATATCGCACAAATAATTATTATAAATAATCTATTCAGCAAAATTTATCGGGAAAGGTCCATATTTACATACATATGTATATAGGAAACAATAACATAAATGTTTCAAGATATGTAAATGCTTTATTATGAAAAATAAATAACATTTAATAATTGGTGTAGGGTATCATATGGTCAGCCATACTTTCTCACTTGTTTTTGTTTGGTATTGAAAGGCCCCCATATAAGGTCCCCTTCAAAAAAAGTAAAAAAAATATACAAAAATAGCAACACAATTCGAAATAAAACAAGTAAGAAAGTATAGTCGGGCGTGACCGACCATATGATACCCTACACCAGTTATGAATATTAAATGTGATTTATTTTTCATAATAAAGCATTTATCTTCTTTTACTTTGTTCCGATACATTTAAGCAATTTATGGATGAAAAACTAATTTTCTGAAAGAGGCTTTATATAAGGGCCAGGGGCAAATATGGACCAAGCCTGATAAAATTTTGTGAATATATTTATATGTACATAATATTTTATTGTGCTGAATTTCATCGCGATATTTGTGTTTATAAGATAATTTTGGACATTCAAGTAATTTTTCCGATACATTTAAGCAATTTATGGATGGAAAACTAATTTTCTGAAACAGGCTTTATATGGGAGCTAGGGGCAAATATGGACCAAATTTGCCCCTAGCAAATTTGTGAATATATTTATATTTACATAATATTTTATTGTGCTGAATTTCATCGCGATATTTGTGTTTATAAGTTAATTTTGGACATTCAAGTAATTTTCTGAAGGGGACTTTGTATGGGAGCTAGGGTCAAATGAGTCCCGATCTCTATGAAATTTGGCAAGGTCATCAAGGCTCGTATAAAACTTAGTTGTGCCGCTTTTTATTAATATACAGGTATTTTTAATATAATTATGAGCTCAGAAGCCCTTTTCGGGGGGTTCTGTTGTATGGGGGCTAGGTGAAATAATGGACCGATTTTAACCATTTTCAATAGGCTTCGTCCTATGGCCACGTCCAATTATCTTGAAAATTGCGACCTGTACCTTGCGCACAAGGTTTACATGGACAGCCAGACGGACATAGCCTAATCGACTGAGAAAACGATTCTAAGCCGATTGGTACTTTAAGGTGGGTATAAGAGGAATATTTTTGTATGTTACAAACATCAGCACAAAGCCAATATAGGGTATATTGAGTTTGTGCTACACCACTAAAGTGGTGTAGGGTATAACAATCTACAGGAACAAAATCTGTCTATGTAATTTTATGAGGATCGTCTTATCATACATACATATGTATATGAGAAACCAAATTTCTATTCAAAATTCTATGAGCATAGATACATAATAGACCCAGGCCTGCAAGATTTGCCGATTTATCGGCATTTTGACGATATTTTACCTTCAAAATAATAAAGTGCCGATTTCCCGATTTTTGCTTAAAAAATGCCGATTTTTTACCCAATCGAACAAATTAACGAATTTAATATAACTTTACATAAGCAAAAATTACATGGAGCTTTTAAAACAATTGGGAAAGGAAAATTTACAGTACGGTAGAACACAATTTGCTCCATCACCAATGTCAATTGGATCGATTATGAAAAGGAAACACAATTTATGTATGATAATCCTGAATAGGTTCTAAAAGTCTGATCTAAGGGTGCTGAAATTTTTAAGAAATTTTTTATGGTTCGAAAATAAATTTACACATTTTTGTGGAAAAGTTAAAAAATTTGGAGAAAATTTCCCATTATAAAAATGTACTCAGCAAAATCTTTACCTATCCGATTTTTGTTCGACGATAACCAATAACAAATGTGATAACCCCACTTTCCTGGATTTAAAATCGGCTTTGCAGTAGTTTTCTGTGTTTATTAGTCTATTCTATTTGATCGTGCAATTTGGAATTTAAAAAACAATATTTTTTCAAAAAACTTCTAATATTGACTAGGATTAGAACCATTAACTAATTCCATATTAGACACACGCTCTAGGCAATTGGTTACAAATCCTATTGTAAAAATTAATTAATATTGTTGATAACGATCACTCACTGTCAAGTGATGTATGAAATAACTACATCATGTATGTATGATGTATGAAATAACTACCTACATCACTCATAACCAAAATTTGAAAATTTTTTACAGGGTAACTATATATTAATCCACAAATAATTATACATTTACATTTTTCTGCAAAAGTGATACAAATTCTAATAGATTTTATTCCAGTAAACCAAAGTTTCGGTGTACCCTTACAAAAAGTTCTTTTATTAGACCTATTCTGAATAAAAATTCCCTGAGTTATGCATGTATGTAAAAACAATATTGTGATTTTTGAATTTATTTATGTTATGTTTCTTTGGTACAAAATAGTGTTTCTTTCAATTGTCGATTTATTGCCGATTTTTAAAACGTAAGTGCCGATAAATGCCGATTTTTTGGGAAAAATTGCCGATATTTCTACAAATTTATCTGGCAGCCCTGAATAGACCTTACCTCCTTACTCTTTTCACTCAACAAATCATTCAAATTACCACCTCCCGAAATTTAACCAAAATTAACTGAACTAACTAACTAACTAACTAACTAACACTAACTAACTAACTAACTAACTAACTAACTAACTAACTAACTAACTAACTAACTAAATAACTAACTAACTATGATTTTTTTTATATTAAAACACTATTTTATTTATTTTGATAGTTTTTCTTTTTATTGATATTTATTATGATTTCATATATTTATTTTTTTTTTTTAATTTGTTTTTATTATAATTTCTTATGTATTTAGAACAATCAGTTAAGAATAATTAAATATTTCAAATTTGTATTTTACTAATTACGATTTTATATAAATATTTTGAATGAAAACACTACGGTCGAACGAAATTCTTTTCTTTTTGCAAATATCGGGAACTAAACCAATTTTAAAATTTTTCAAAATGTATTTTTTTTTAAGAATAAAAAGTAAAGCATTCGATCATAGTGTAATAATTTATGACATATTGTTTTTATTTTTTATTACAATGACATTCAAAATAAAAAATTAATATCATGTATTTGTATTATTTAATATTGTTTCCTTTTTTATTATAATTTAATCGATAAATACATATAAATATGGAAATAATATTTGTTTATTTTATATTGATAGTCATAGGTTGACACTGTGTAAATGAACTAAGTTTATTTTCCAACTTGAGATTTAGATGTCAAAGTATTCTGAAGAAATCGTTGAGCAAATTTAACTGAAGTTGGAGAAAATAGTTTATTAGGTGGTTCCAACCTATAACAACCAATAATTATATATACATACATTGATCAAAATTCTAAATATTTTTAATATAATTCTGCGCTGTTCTGTAAACCGAACTTATTAGTTTTTAAAACAAATACGAACATCTAGAGCCAAATTACCACATTTGTAAGTGAATAAGCTTTAGGATCGAAAAAACAAGATAAAATATATTGAATTTCATGTTCGATATTGATGACCATAACTCAAACTCCAAAAAATTTTACTCGATAATAACATTATAGCTATGCGCTAATTTTTATTATAAATTAAATACTTTTCTTTTTTCTTAAAACACAAACTTTTGTGATTAAAAAAATCTGATTCCAAAAAGCTATTCGTTTAACAAAACAGAGCCGATTATAGATCTTATCTTTAACATTAATTTTTTTTAGAGGAAAATTAATTTTCTATTTAATTGTATTTAAGTAAAACAAAAAAACACATACACACACATAAATAATAAAGGAATAATACAAAAATACTTAAATTCTAGCCTCACACTAAATAATGTCTTTTATTCAAAAATTGTTTGTGTAATTTACTAAAAATTGTTTAGATATTTTATTTAATATTATTTGTTTATAAGTAAAGTTTGGGATTTTGGGTTAACTTAGCTAAAGATTTAAATACTTGTTTTCTTAAAATTAATTTATTAAATTCATATTATTTACAAAAAAAAACGGTTATTTAAAAAATGAACAAAACCTATTGTTTACTTTTTTGTCTTTGTGTGCAAAGCGTAGGGGGGAAACTTTTTTCACATTTGCGGTCGAGTCCAGAGTTCACTTAGATCTTTCGGTCTTAGTTTACCAATATCTGAAATTAAATTGAATAAAAATATATTAATGAAATATTTATATTTGTTTAGATTAAAGCAAATTCCGAATACTTACCCAATTGTCCCGGTTTTGGTGAGGGCCATACAACATCAAATCTGGGCTGCACAGTTAAAGCACTGCTTTGCGACGGTCTTAAAGATGTACTACTGTAAATAGAAGTATATTTAAATAAATTTAAGAAAAAAGACTTTTAAAAATACCAACCTGTATGGATGTTTGAGGCAGCCATAAACTTCACGATAACGTCCATAAAGAGTACCATATGATACACCCAGAATACGAGCTGCTTTTTTTCATTTCAAGTCTTTTATTCTTTATGGCATCTAGAACCTGCAAAACAGATTGACAACACAATATTGAAACAAATAATTACGATATATTAAGTAAGTATGTACTTACTCTTCGCGTAAAAGGTTCCTCCCAGAATTGGGGCCGTCTGCCTTTAGCCAAATAATCATCCATTTTAATAACATCCTGCCATTGAGACATTTCCTCTGTTGTCAAACGTAACTCGGCCTCACTGAATTCCTCCATTTTTATATCGACATATTCGTCGGGATGATGACCATTGGAAGTTGAAGACGATGATGTTGGTATTGAAGCCGTCGGAGCATGTATAAAGTCGTGAGTCATTAAGATGCCATGTTCATTGATCAAATAACCTTCCGGTACATATTTGCCATAATGATGTGGATGGTGTAGTGGTGGTGGTGCTGGTGGAGGATGATGCGAATGTGAGTGGGAATGATGAGAGTGATGAGAATGGTGATGATGTGATGAACTTGAAGACTTGTGAGCTGCACTTGTAGAGGGTGATGATGCCGAAGAAGATGTAGCTGATGCGGATGAATTATTATTTGTTGAAGAGGATGTATTTGTTGCACTAGAAGCTGATTTCTCTTTTGTTGACTGTTGCACTGTTTCGATTTCTTCCACAGTTTGTGGCACATTAGATGGATCCACTGTTTCTAGTTCATCTTCGTTTTCCGATTTGTGCTGCAATGCTTCCTCCTTGGAGCTTTTTCGTTTTAGCGCCTTTATTTTGGGATGCTCCGGTGTAGATTCTTTAGAACGTTTTTCCGTTCTCCGTTTATTAGCAGCAGTTTCCTCATTTTCCTCTTTTATATCTTGCAGTTCCTCTTCCTCCTCTTCACCTTGATCCAATGGATCCTTTTGTTCATTTTCATGTTCTAATGAACTAGTTATCCATTCTGGTTCTGTGGCCGATTCATCATCTATTAGATCGTCTTCATGTTGGACTCGTGTGGGTCGATAACGTAAACGTTGTTTTTGTTGTTGGATATGTTGTTGGTAAACAACGGATGCTGCTGAGGGGGAATTTGGTCTGGAATGCTGAGAAGTAGCGCCGTGGTTGTTTTGTTCATCATTATACTGAGATCCTTCCAAGTATGCACTACTATCGCCTGGTTCGGAATAATGCCCCAATTTTCTGCTGGAATTCCAGAATTAAGCAAATTAGTAAAAATAATTTCAACAGATTCACTTATTATCAAATTTCACTTACACATTGAACACATCGTAGGCATCATCCAATGGTGGTCGACCACGTTTGCGTTTTGGTCCCAAATATGAATCGATTGGCGAACTGGCAGCAGCTACTATTGATACCGCTGACGTTGGTATGGGAGTCAGTGTGGGCATGCGTGTAGCTGTGGCCGAATGTTTGGGTGATGGTGTTTTCTGTTCACGTTCTGCATCCGGCGATTGAGATCTATGTTGTGTTTCATGACCATAACTATCATAACGATTGCGTGACTGTGATGGTGAATGGAATTCTGTTTGTGGTGTGGGTGGTGGAGGAACATCCTCGTCATCTCGCCAAGTTACTTCGGCCAGACCTTTTATTTTGAGATCATCGGCAGTTTTAAGTAAAGATGCTAGACTCGCCTGAAATCAATAACAAATTAATAACTTTCTTCTTCATAATTAATCAACAAAAAAAAAAACTTACATGTTCCACATTTATTTCCCCCTTGTACATAAATTCAATTAAACATTTAATATCGGCAAACGTAATATCTTTCATTATTATAATGGGATCTCGTTCACTGGCGTAGTTGGTCAGGACTGTATCGAAAAATGTACTACAGGCACACAGCACCACCCGGTGGGCTCTAATCAATTGGCCCTCACAGGCCAATGTAACATCGCAAAAACAACCACGATCCAATAGCTGAGAGAACATGGTCTGTAAATTACTGTGATGGTATTTCCACCGCAAACAGTACTGTTGCGGCAACATGTTGAAATTATTGTTTTTTCTTCAGCTAAAATGAAAAGGATTTAAAGAAAATAATTATTGAAAATTTGTCTAAAGTTTTTAAATTGATAATAGAAAATGTATTTTGTTTCAAAATTAAATTAAATATTTCGAAATTTGAATTTCGATATAAATTCGACTTCATAAGATGTCAGACAGTATATATTGGGGCCGATTTGTTTTTTTTTCTTTTTTTTATTAATTAAGAAAAAAGTAATGCATTATTAAATTTCCAAAGCCTTCAATTTCCACTGTCCGTTCTACTTTTTTAATAAAAATGTTTAAAATAAAAAAAATGCAAATAATGGCCAGAAAAAACTCAACTATCCCCTTTTGGAAAAAAGACGACCATTAAAGATGAAAAAGTCCATCAAAATAAATCTCAATATACTATATGTATGTATATATTTTTTTACAGGATGTTTTCATCCTTTATTTTCTTTAACATTTTTATTTTAATTTTAAAGCAAAAAAAAAATCCTCTCGTTAAAAATATAAAAATGCGACATAAAAAACTTTCATAAAACCAGAGAACGAACAAAAATATATGTATATAAAAAATTATAAAAAAAAACTGAAAAATATATAAAAATTTGTGAGAAATATATTGTATATAAAAAAATCTTAGTACTCATATAAAATATGTGTGCTACTACTGCAACTCGTTCGTACCTTGCAACCCACCATTCATTCGAACACAAACGAAAAAAAAAGAAGTAGAACCCAACCAAAATCCACCATAAAACCCCGTTCACCACCCACTCATCTTAAAATATATGACAATGGGTTAAAAAAACTGTTGGGTTAAAAAAATCACATAATTTTTATGTTTATTTTTTTTTTTTTTGCTTTGCTTTTTTTTTGGAATACACCAAAAAGGGGTTGCCTTTTAATAAATGTGATGCTGAATTTGCTTAAAAACGAGGTAGAAAAATAAATATTAAAAAATAAAAAATGTTAACTTAAAAAAATTATGAAGAAAAGGTTGTAAGAAAAACTAAACAACATTAATAGGAACTGACATGTTATTCATTTCTTTTCCTTTTTACCAATTTGATTTTTTCTTTTTTATGTTTAACAAAATTTTAGGATTTTTTTATTAGTGGAGATGGTGAATAAAGGAAACAAATGTTGACTTTTTATGACATCATCTTATTTTTATGTTAGTTGTTTTTGGAAAAGTTTTCCATATTAAAATAGATTTTGTAGAATTTAACTCATTAGTAAAAATAATTTTTTTGAAAAAATTTTATCATATTTGAAAAGTGTTCCATATAAATTGTAATTATTTTCTAACATTTGTTTGGAAATATTTTATCAAGTGATGTTAATGTCTTTTCGATTTATAAACTATAATGTTAAGCGGTAACGTCATTATACCCTACACCACTACAGTGGGGAGGGTATTATGCGTTTGTGCTGATGTTTGTAACACTCAAAAATATTACACTCACCTTAAAGTATAACAATCGGCTCTGAATCACTTTCTGTCGATTAAGTTATGTCCGTTCGTCTATCTGTGTGTCCATGTAAACCTTCTGCGCATGCTACAGGTCACAATTTCAATATAATTTGATGAAATTTGTCACATACTCTTTTTTACCCATGAACGAAGCCTATTGAAAATGGCAACCGTACCCCCCGTATTCGGCTTTTCAGTAATGATAGGGCCTCATTTGACCCTATCATCCCCCTTCAGAAAATGACTTGAAGGTGGAAATTCACCTTTAAACACTAATATAACATTGAAATTCTACATAAATAACTTTAATGTCATCGTAAACCGCTCTACCAAAATTTATACGTATGGTACCATATTTACCTTTGCCCCCATATAACCCCATTTCAGAAAATCATTTTTTTGGTAACAAATTGTTAAAATATTTCGGAATTAAAGAAAAATCCTTTATTATTAAAAAAATAATCCATATTTTTAATATTCTCACTGGTGTAGGGTATCATATGGTCGGCCATGCCCGATTATACATTCTTACTTGTTTTCGTTATATATTTGATTAGTGAATTTGTCATGTTTGAAAACCCGAAATTATACTCAAAAATTCTAATTTGTCACTATCCCTCATTAAAAGTCCTCTTCAGAAAACAACTTATACATATTTCATAAGTTATTTGTAAATATTAGTTACGTCATAAATAAGTTTTAGCGAAACTAAGGAAGGGATCTTCGCCAAATTAAATTAAATACTTCTTCCGAGATACATCGGAAGAAATTGTTCAGAACTAATCTTTTGATTAAAAGCAAACGTTAACAACATGCCTGTTAAAAAGAAATATCATTTTTTTATCTCAAAATTTCTCATTATTTTTAGGTTAGGAAAACACCTATCCGGCCTATTGTGCGCTCCTTTTCATGGAAGAAAAATGTTTATTGGTAATTCAATTTTCACAAATTCAGTTTCCTGGACGTAATTCCTAAGAATTTTCCAATCAGTGTTCGGGAGGAATGTTATATCCCGAATAATATTACTCCCAAGATATTTGGATCCAATTTCGACGAATGCCTGACAGTGGCAAAGAAAGTGCTCCAGAGTTTCGCTGTCTTCTTCACATGCTTCACTCATATTTTTAATTCAGCCTTTGTTGCGTCGAATGGTTTTGAATTCGTCAGGTTAGCTGCCTTCCCTTTAAATCTAAATAATTTGCCCTTTCGTTGCCGACTCCCCCGAGTGGCCTGGTACCCATATGATGTAAGCCTTACTTCTGGAAGAATATTCAGTTAAAGCTTTCTTACAGTCCAATACGATCTTAGATTTAACTTTATCTATCACCTAATATCGCCTAATTGCCTTCTGGCTATCGGTAAATATGTTTAACCCTGTGAGCGCCATATTTATTCTAATCCAATTTACGCATTGCGTTATTGCTCGGACTTCTACCATGAAGCTTGTGTTGTGATTAGGTAAACGGTGGTATATTTCAGTGTCTGGGTTTTCAATACAGAACCCCAGGCCCATTTTGTCCCCCAATTTAACAGATTCCTACGGGTATTTGCTCTAATGTTTCGCTGACCAAGACATTCAATCCGGGATCAACGTTTCAAAGTTTCCGACATACACTGTGTCTGGTTACCGACTCTGGTATGCGATCAGTCACGTCCGATAATTATGTATAGCCTTCCAATGTTTCCTGTATACATTGTATAAACGCTTTTGGCCAGTTCGCCTAAAGTTATGAGCCGTTCGTCCGTAAGTGCCGCCTCATACCTTAAATATGTTTCAATGGGTGAAATATCTAGCAAGGTTCCTAGAGCGTTGGCAGCATGTACGCTGAACTCCCTGTAGTAGTTTAATATTACACTTTTTGTCCAAAGAAGTCCACCAGATTATTGAAGCATTATAATATGTTAAATGTCAAAGTGTCATTATTTTTAAGTAAACAATGATTTTAAATATTGTCTTGTAGTGGTCTAAAAATGGAAAGGATTGCGATCCCGTTTCAAAGTTTTTGTTTTTAATCTTGTATTTAAAAATCAAATGGTCCGGAAAAATGACCCCAATGTAAAAAAAAACGAAAATGGCCCAAAATTTTTTTTTTTAATTTTTTTGGGGTCTGGTTGTTTTAGAAGGAATAGAAAAGGACCACAAAATGCCCAATTAGTTTGTTTTACTTTGGGGTTACTTACTTTTTATTTAAAAATTTCATAAAATTATTAAAATTTATTCAATATTAAATTTAATTTTTATTTATGAAAAAAATTTTTTAATGAAAAATTGCCTCACAAATTGCTTACAAAAATTTGGGGTGAAATTTCATTTACATATACATACATATGTGTTTTTTTTTTTTGCCCTATCCTTCCATTTTAACCTTGGGGCAATTTTGCATTTATTTTGGGCCCAGATAGAGCTGAGTAGGTATAAAAATTCTAAAATAACTTGAGATATGCACTGTAAAAGCAAAAATCTAATACATATATCATTGGCTAAATGTTTTTTGCTATTAGTCCCCGAGAGTAATTTGTCTTTCAGCCCTTCCCACCCCTTTCATTACTGCCCACACCAAATAAAAATAACCAACAACAACAAAAGCGAAAATTAAATGCATTGGAAACTGCCTGTAAAAAAAACAAAACTCATAAAGGGGTTTTTTGTTGTAGCATTTTGTGTCCTTTATTTTAATTTTTGCTGTAAATTATTTTGAATTTATTTTAATGACTCTGTTTCAGTACATTTTTTTTCATAGATTTTTTCTACTTTTTTATTTTTTTAATGTGAAGGACCTGGAAGCAATGACATTATTTTAAAATGAAAAAAAGTAACATAAAATTTAACTTTTTTTTAG